TGAACAAATTGAACAAATGTCATTTTACTGGGCATGTTAAGAAGCTCAAAATATCTTAGTTTTGACCAAGATTTCAAAGGCAAGACCCAAATTTGTCTTGTTTATAGTGTCAAATATATGCTCAGCAGCCAGCACCAAGCTGTACATAATAGTCATTCCATTACCTACAGAAGAAATAGGAAGACGTAAATAAAACTATCCTAATGTGGTAAGAGAAATAAAATGGTAAAGCTTCTGAGTCTTAGAGGAAATTTTTCTGCAAATTGGAAACCATCACTTAAAGTAGTAAAGTTAACTTACTCAAGTTAATATAGTTCAACCAAGAGTTGAGACTTCAATTCCTATATTTTTCCTTAAACATCATAAAAATAAAATCTATCAAAATATATCCATATTATGGGATTGCACAGTAATGTAAATATACTTCACACTACTGAAATATATGCTTAAAACTTAGAATGGTAAATTTGATGTGTACTTTACCACAATTAAAAAAAATCAAAACTGGAACAAAAATATCCCTGTGACAAAAAAATCCAAATTTAAATAATTACATATAATTTCTATTATATTTATAGATATTTCTACCAAAATAAAATCTGACTACATATGAAAATAAGACAATGAGTAAAACACTCAATTTTAAGTTAACAATTATTCAGAATCTTATGAAATAACCTTTTATAATAAGATTTTTTCTACCTTATCTACCATTAAAAGTAACTATGCAAAATGGCATAAGAATGAAACACAGTAATTTAACTTAGTTAGCCCAAATCCATTCTGGAATGAGGGGAAATTAACTAAGTTATTTTTATTGTGCTTCTATGTCAACGACAAAAATAAGCAGTGTGATAGTCATTATAACCATTCAACAATAATCTAGTCTTCTCTTTTCCTGTGGATATTGCTGAAATCAGGGATAGCCATGTGATATGCTTCTTGAAATGAGAAAGGAAAAGATGAACATCTCCAAGAAGAAACTAGTGCTTTAGCACATTCTTTTTTCCCCTTTACTATGGTAACTCTTAACATGTTAAAAACTGGCTGTCCTCAGCTAGGATTCCAGAGCAAAGACAACAATGAGAACAGTGTTCCAGCAAGCCAGAAAGGACATAAAGAGTAAGCAAAATAAATCATTGTATTAAACCACTGAGATTGTGAGATATTGACATAGCACAGCACAGAATATATCCTAACTGAAAAAGAATCTAAATACTGAATATAAAGCACTGGTATAAAAAAGTAAAATGGATTCCCACAAATGAAGAAAGGAAGGATGGGCAGGGGTGACAGGATTCTCCCCTTGTTCTCCACTTGCTCTGACACAAGGCTTCCATCAGAGTATAGATACCAGGGCATTACTCAAAGCCCTGCATGCCACAGAGCTCAGGCTAAGGGGCAAAATAAGTACTGCTACTATAGACAAGTTTGAAGAGCTGAGGGAAAGCTTTTTCTACCCTTCCCCTTCCCACTTGCAGCCAAGTATTGAGGAAAACTAGACTCCTCTGAACACTAACTTTATTCTTTCAGCCATGTGAAGAAATCATCATCTTGAGAAAATTTAACAATGTTTGTCAATGAAGTACCAGGGCCCATTCCTTGGCATTTTAAGTTCATCCACTACTATACAAATTTGTAGCCTTATAGACAATTTCACCCAGAGGAGTTATTTAAAAATCAGTTATTCCTCCTACAGTCTCTTGTTTACTACTGCCTTCATGAAGACCAAAGGGGAGCTGAACTTTGAACAGGAACCAGCTTCCTGTTCAAATTAAGTGACCAAATTACAGGGCTCAAAATTGGGAAATTCATTAGCTCGTTTCATTTCTAACTTTTAGGACCATTATAAACCACAACAGAGTTTTGCCCTGGCTAATAGCAACTTAACCCCAAAGGGAAGTGGTGGACACCATAGGGCTTCATCCACTGAGAACAAGAGCCACTTTCCTGCACTTCATGAAAAGGCAGCTTTTGTTTGCTAAGCTATGCCTACAGACACCCTACAGAATGGCTTACTATTCCCCATCCTTGTTTATTGGAATTTCTTGCAGATCATCTTTACAAGTAGTATACTAGTAAGAAGCACTCAATTTCTGACCATCATCAACTCCTGAGTGTGGGTCTCCTTGAGGTTTGATCCTTCCCCTGATATTTAGCATGATAACCTGCAGTGAGTATATTTATGAACTTGGACAAGATACTGTGCCATTCCTGTGCCCAGTGAGAAATATGGACATGTCTCTAATAAACAAGGAATCAGAGATATTCTTTTGCTGCAATTCTAGCTCCTGGTAGAATCTCTCCAATGAACAACAGCTTAAGAGAACTTCTATAGCACAACACTAACCAAATACATCACTTTTATACTAATTGTATTTAGAACCAAATAATTATTTGTTGTGGCCACTATCCGTGGCAGTGCAGCAAGTATAGCAGAATCCCTGGTCTTTACCCACTAGATGCTAACAGCATCAGTTTCCTGTTCCCAGACTGTGACAATGAAAAGTATCTTGAGATAGCACCTGAATGTCTTAGAGGTAGGGTGCAAAACCATACCAGGTGACTACTCTGCTAGAAGCTGGTTCCATTTCCAGCAGTTAGTATGACATTGACAAGAGGATGTATACTAGGACCAAGATGCCCCACCCCATCCCACATGCTCCACTCCATTTGAGGCTGGTATAGAACTTGCCCTGAGATACCACTGGTAAACAGATTAACGGATTCTGCCCATAATTTGAGAAGTTGGCCTGACTCCCAGCGAGTAGAAAACAACGGAACCTTGATTTTTTGCTTGCTCTTCTTCCCATACCACACCATTCTCTCCTTCTAATACTTCCCTTTCCCTTTTGACTTTCTCCTACAAGTAGAGACATGATTCAAATAACTCAGATGATTTATCTTACAAAACAAGATGTAAACCAACAGCAAACTGCTACTGACCTGACCTCCTGCCACCACCACCCCCACATAATGTAGACATGTTCTGGTGTTAACTGGAAAAATCTGAACTGGGTCAATTCTCAGAAGTCTCTTTAGCTTGCCTAATTTACAGGGCCAATGGGGGCAGAAGCCCATATTCATAGATTGACCTCATGGACTAACTTATATTTTACCAAACCAGGAACATAGTCTGATCCTTAACCAAAGAAAAAAATTTAAAACAGGAAGGAAAAGATAAAAAGAATATACCTTTAATGCCAACTACAACTACATAAGTATCACATTCATAAACATAAAAAACCCACCACATTAAAAAACTATGTCTCATATGCTAAAGGGGAAGAACTATATCCTTGCTCTATTTCATGCCAAAGTAAGTTCCATATGAATTTACAATGAAGTATAAAAAATGCAAACTTTAAAAGTTCTATAAGAACACATGTGGAACAATGCTTTAAAAACCTGGGTTGAAAAAAGTCTTTTATTTTTATTTTATTTTTCTGAGTTTCCCTCATAATAAATCTAATCATTTAATGTTGTTTAGAGTTCATTTTAAACATTCTGTAGAGAACATTATATAAATATTAAATTTTAAAAATCTCCATGGAATATATGCTATCATCCAATTTCATCCAATATTCATCTATAAAAATTAGAAGCTAGATTACATCATCTTTTAACAAACTTACAAGTCAAATTGTCTTGTTCTTATTGTCACTGGACAGCATTTTATTATTTTTGTGTAGTTTTTCAGAAAAGTACTAGAAACATATTGACAATTATTGTAGCCATTAATACATATATTATAAATTTCAAAATATATAGTTGGAAAGATGAAAGATAGTTGGTTGGAAAAGTTATCTTTGGCAGTTGTAAAACAGTAAATGGATTCAATTTGTATCAGACATTAGGATGATATACATTTGGTTTATCACTTATAATTTTATAGGTCATATTTCCCTGACTTCCTAAATTTCCAAAAGCATAAAGAGGCAGGGAACACCTATAAAATCTGACCTATAAAATTGATTAATCGAAAGTCCTCCAAACATGTTTTAGAAATTCCACATTTTACTGTATTTCCATCTAACTATTTTCCCTTTTAAATTGAATAGGTATTTGATTGAATTAACCAGTGTGTGCTGTCATGTAGGCCCAGATTGCATTTGAATGCTAGCAATAAAGAGCTTAAACATGCAACCACTTTCATTGACTGTTAGTAAGAACAGAAACGAAATCTGACCACAAATACCCGAACTTTGGCTTCACTGCCTCAAAGTTGTCTTCATGTGTGCTTGCTCATGAAAAAAGTCCTTTAATCAATGCCCAAAGTTCATAAGTTATATTAGAACAAATTTCTTTGACCAAACTCGTATTCTTCTAAAAATTTAGCTGATATATTTGTACATATGAATAAAGAAATATGTTTAACATAATATCAAAATAAAGCAAACTCAACTGGAAATGATCATCTGATGTCCACTGATGAAAACTGAATAAATAAATTATCTATACAACAGAATAGTACATAGTTATAAAAAATGATTACAAAATTGGGTTGGGGTTGTGTTTCAGGGGTAGAGCGCTTGCACGGCATGTGTGAGGCACTGGGTTTGACTCTCAGCACCACATATAAATAAATCAAAAATAAAATAAAGGTCAACAGACAACTAAAAATCAGACTACAAAAGATTTAAATGTGGTAGTATAAGTGGATCTATTGGATAATGTTATAAACAAAACAAGCTAAAGGAATACTGTAATGGCTTCTCTGTCATGAAAAAAAAAAAAGAGTCACAGACAGGTTTTTGTTTTTATACAGAGTAAGTATTTTTAGAGGGACACAAAAGAAATTTATATGCTTGTTTCTAGGAAGGAAGACAGATCTGGAAAGGAAGCAATCTTTCTTTCATTGTATATCCTTTTAAGTTTATTAATTAGTTTTTAGATTATTCATAAAGCTCATCACAAAAAAGATCAAAAAGTAAAATTCAAAGAAAATGCATCAAAACAGAATAGCAAATGTCCTATATACTTAATGAGAGTATACTCACCTTTCCCGACAAAATTTAAGTGAATGTAGTATGGCAGGCCTTTTCTGACGTAAATTCCATAAGTGTAAGGTGTCATCAGCCAAGACACTCACAAGAGCTCCCTTAAAAAAAAAAAAAAAAGGTATATTTTATACATAAATACATCTTATAAACATTAATGCAACCAAACATTTTCTAAAAAATATCTCATTCTTAAACTTCAAAACATTTGCTTCTAAGAAACATTTACCTCACCAAATTCTAAACAGCAGATGTTGGAGTATACATACATGTGTGTGGATGTCATTTAATGATTGAACCTCAATAACTTCAAGTTTAACTTAATATCTTATGAAACAAAAGTGTAGTAGTAGTATGTAGTAGGATACATGATTAAGACTTAGCTATTTAAAATTAGAGATTGGAATATAAATTAGTTGGTGACTACAATAAATATTTTCTGGACTAACAGCAAAATATAATATAAAATGTCAAATGTTTTCTCTGATATAAAGAGGCTGATTCATAATGGGATAGGGAGAAGGGAACATGGGAGGAATAGATAAACTCTAGATAGGGTAGAGTTGCTGGAAAGGGAGGGAGGGGGCGTGGGGTTATAAATGATGGTGGAATGTCATTATCATTATTATCCAAAGTACATGTATAAGGACACGAATTGTTGTGAATATACTTTGTATACAACCAAATATGAAAAATTGTGCTCTATATGTGTAATAAGAATTGTAATGCATTCTGCTGTCATATATAAATAAAAAATTTATGGGAAAAAAGATAATTTCTTGTTTGTTGGGTTTTATTATTTAGGGTAACAAATGTTAAAGGGATTAAGGTTTGTATAACTCTACTTACAAACAACTATCACTTTAGGTTATTATACTACACTATGGATTCTAAATTTTTCTTAAAAGTTAAACTTGGTTAATATAAGTAGACTGGTGTAATTGTGAAGCTACTACTGGTTTCTTTTATATTAGATGTATTCATGTCCCCCAAGAATACAAGTCTTTAAATAGAAGGTTTAGGAGAACACTTTACCATGCTGTTGTTCTACATCTAAAGTTGTCTGTAACACTGGTCTTTTGCAAACTTAAATTTTTATTTATGTCATTTGATGTTCTGTAATTAGATAAAAACAATCTGTCATAAGTTGTAAAATTTTGTGTTACTCTTTACTTTGGGATGGGCACTTTAATACATTTTTGGAAGACAATAAGGAGAGACTGGTTTATTTAAAGGTTGACAATATGGGATATGAAGAAATTTTGCCACTTTTCCACAAATGGGGTTAAAAGCTCTCTTAGCCTGTTTGATTCATGTTTCAGTTTAATGTGAAATTATGTTAACTGATTCATATATGCCCAGGAAATGATATATGAAAATGTTGTAAAATAATATTTCAGGAAGAAATAAGGATCAGTTTCAGAAATAAAACACCTTACCTAAGATTTATCAAGAGGCCACCTCACTTGAGTTAAAAAACTCTGCCTCTCACCTTATTCCATGTTAGGATAACCACTCAAGTTCATTTGAAGTAAATTAAAGAAATAGGCATTTTTATAAGGATTACTGTGATTTTAAAATAAGGAGGAAATATAATATATAGCTAAGTAAAGGTCTGGAATTGCAAAAATTATGTTTCTTGGTTCATAGCTATTATACAAACTAAAAATGTTTTTACTCTTGTAAAAAAAAATGCTAGTCCTTATTTTCATGGTCATATTCATTTATTTTGTATTAATCTCATTCCAATGCTCATGTCTTCGTGTTTCTCACCTACCAGATGACTTTACAACCTGTTCTTTCCAAACCAGACTTTTACCACAGACCCTTCAACTGACCCAAAACATTCCTAAAAGGGAAACCCAAACTGCTTGCCCCATGTTGCCCCCTCTCAGCCTGAAAGAGCCAGACATGTCATTGCCCATTTCCGCTTACAGCAGTAAGGGTTCCCTTACTCAGAGGGAAGAATAAGACCAAGACAAAGGACAAGTAGTAGATTATATTTAATTAAAAAAAAAAAGGAAATGGGGTAGATAGCACTCCCCATCACCAATGCTTTGGCACAAAATATTTCAAGAGACCTCCAGGATCAAAAGACAATTGATAATAAACTTGAAGCTAAGGTGAATGCCTTAGAGGCTACTGTAGTAGTCCTGGTCAGATACAAAGTCTTAAGGTCATACAACAATTATGATGCCGTGTCGTTTATTAGTTTATTTGTGTAACTAACATCTGTTCCATACTATATCTCCTAATGGGATTGGGAAAAGATAAAGATGCATCTATTGTGAATTTGGAATCATAACAATGTGAATTTATATCTTTTACAACTACACCGTTACATCCAAGTCATGCAAAAAAGTAAGATTCCTGTGTTATCCTCCACCAGTTTTACACAAAAAGCTGTTAGATGATTTGAATGGTTTCAATTATTAAAACATGCTAAAACATACTGCATGGTATCTCTTAGGACTTGTTTCCTTGCTCTTTATTCTGTGTTGTTTTCTCGTGGTCAGCTACAAGCTTGTCGGACAAGTTCTAGTTCCAGTACTTCAGAGTCGACATGCATAGTTTACGTTTAAAAAATAAAAAAGGGGGAGATGCAGAAAGTGGTGACTTATATCATGGTCTCTGACTGCCTTGTGGCTGTGGCTATGGCTGTGCTTGTGCTGGGAATTTTTGCACAAAGTTGCAGGATAAGATTGCCTAGTTGCTATAGTGATGCCCTGCCTGAGGAAGCTCTGTGCAAAGGCACAGAACTACATCAGTCTTAACTTTGAGCTCAGACACCTGTCATCAGTGAAAGAGAATTCTGAGCATAACAAGATAACCACAAGAGCCGCGACATTCAAGTCTGTCTGCTTTGCAGAAACATTCCCACAAATAACCTTTTGATGATAAAACCTATATAAAAAATCTGCTATACTAGCTCTGGGTCTTTGTTCTTCTATCAGAGTTTGGTGTACCAACCAGTCCCAGGTTTCTCCTTGTAAGTGTGTATGTCTTAAAACCCCACATTGCCCCTGACCTGTTTCTAAGATTGGGCTATGTAAGTCAAGGAAGAGTTAGATCCTTTTATATTAATTTCAAAAGATTTGCAATCCCAATCCTTTATGTTATTATGAGAAATCTTAAAGTCTCCCCATTTAAAATAAGAGTTTTTCATCCAATTCGGAATGATTAAAATAGCTGTCAAAATAAGATATACTTCAAACCATATCTCCCAGGCCTTTCCACCTTCTAAATTCTGAGGGGTAACTCTTTTATGTAGGTCCTACTGCTATAATATGACAATTGGAAAGCTATCTGACATACATAAAGTACACACTCTCCTTTTACTAGAAAGCATTGTCTTATCTATAACACTCAGACCCTAAAAAAATTACACAATTACAAATTATTAGTATGATAGTTTTACTTAATTTTTTGTCATCTTTAGAATTTTACTTCCATGAAAACCTTTCTTAAATTCTGACATGAATATTCATCAAAATCCAGAGGTGTTTAGATATGTATTTTCCTATACATTACAAATTTATTCAATGTATCTTAAGGATTTGGGGGAAAAACAATGTTCACAAACTATCCTCAAATCTAAGGAGTTCATCAGAGCCCTTTCCGGAGAAATTTCTCTTCTTTCCTTCTACGAACATCTTTCCTTGCCTGTTGCCACTTACAGTGAAGATCTATTCTCAGAGCTGCTCATGTTGTTCTAAAATCTGCAAGCACAGTGTTTTCTGAGCTAATAAAATGTTGTTTACTCTATCTCTTTCTATATAGTAAATTCAAAAAGAAGGGGATTATCAATTACTTCAACAAATAAGCAGCACAACTTGAAGCAATATCCACTTTAAAATGAAAATTGGCTTCTTCCTGGTAGTATTTCTAAGCAATTCATTAGGGCTGGGGATGCAGATCAGGAGAACACTGCCTAGCATGTGCGAGGCTCTGGGTTCAATCCCCAACACCACAAAAAAAAAAAAAAAAAAGAAAAGAAAGAAACAAAAGGTCAAAGTAATCCATTAAAGGAATTCTGTTACTTATAACAGGATTCTTATTTTATTAATTTTTAATATAGACTTTGTTATACAACTTTAAATATCCCTGAAATAAAATTAAATGCAGCATCTAGTACCAAAAAAATTTTTAACCTTATTCCATTCTGTTTGCAACTCTATTTTGAGAAATATATCATGCAACTCTCCACAATGATGACTAAAACTAAATTACAGTTACCTCCAACCCACAATAAATTAATTTTTGTTCAAATATTTAAATGTGAATGCATACAAAAAAACTGAAAGACCAGATGTAGCTCAATTTCAAATATAAAAAGGAATGATTAAGATAATTCACTGACCTCATTAATCAGGAACTGGAGCTGAATTACAGCAGCTCCACTGTCATGTTGGCAATAACATTCTACTCCCGGACGACCAAAGCTATCATAAATTCCATTAAGGAGTTTTTGATATATGTGGCCTTTTTTCTTTAGAGAAATTGATAAGTTATAACAAACTAATAAGTATTTTGATAACCTGATATTTAATAATATAGGGCACTTACTGAGGTGGAGATTTAGAGTTAGGTTTACTACACATTAATTAGTTTCTGTCGATAATCAGAAGTCTCAGAGATTACAGTTCTGAAAGAAATAAGAAAATAGATCCTTCTAGAAAAAAAATGAAGTATTAAATTCAGCAATATGGAAAAACAATAAATAGTTAAAATATTTTACTCTGGCCCAAAATCTTTTTTTTTCCTTTTAAAATTTTCATATAACAGAAAACATTTATATAACATTTTTTATGTGCCACCCATTATTATAAACATGTTTCATAATATTAAATATTTTAATCCTCATAACCCATGGAAGAATATATTAATATTCCCTATGATAAGGAAACTGAAGTACAGAGAAATTACATAACTTGACCCAAGTCACACAACTACAAAGTAAAAGAAAAGGAATGTGAATATGCAACATGGTTCCAAGGTGTTCACTTTTTTCCCCCCAGTGCTGGAGCTCAAACCTAGGGTCACTGTCATGTTAAGGACAAACTCTACCACTGAGATGTACCCCTAGCCCTACATTCATAATAGGTATGCTAATCACTAAAATGGAACAAAAAAGGCTGTACACTCAATAGAATCCCCTGTGTGCAGTTAAATACATTTCACCTTCATAATCTTGATCATTTTAACATGTTAATACACTAATCCAATTTTCACTACTTAATAAATACTAATAGTAACCAAAATAAAAAACTTTGGTGGGATTTAATAAAATTATAACTCTCTCTATAAACTCAAATCCAGGAATACAGACATTTTATTAAGCTAGGGCTTAATAAAAAATTAAATTGTAGCATAGGTTCAATTTGTGCTTCTCCCATTTAATTTCTAGACATTTTCCTAGGTAATATTTATTTTCAGTAGGGTTTTTTTCTATTTTATACAATTAACTTCTATTTCATAACTTTACAGACTGATTTGAGTATGCTTAGCTTATACTCAAAACCTAGAATTACTGTTATTAGCAGTATTGATAATTGTAATAGTGTTTGACACACCAGTACAAATGCAACTACAGAAACCAGATTTCAAATTGCTAGTATTGGCACTATGCAAATCACATCAAAAGTCAAGAGAAATGTCTACATGCCTGTTCACACATTTCTTTTCTCAAGTGACAAGACAGATCATTACAGTGAGACTAATTCTAATCTTTTCAGCTAAATTATTTTTGCATCAATGACTATATTTTAAAATTCTTTTTACATGAATCTAGTTAAATTTTTTCTGAGCAGACCAGGAAAACTAATGTAAAAATTGTGAGCTACTATGGAGAATCATAAAAAATATATTCATCTTAATATTATCACAAAATATATATCACTTTACTAATCTTCTGATGTTAGCCCATGACCTTTCCTTGGAGTATGGATTCAGAGTTGTTTCTCTTGAATAAAACAGCTCTAACTACCCAGATTTAAGATTTCCAGTTTATTTGGATCCAGACTTGGTGTCCATTAGTGGATGAATAGATAAAAGAAAATGTGGAATATATACACAATGTTCTTTTTAGTCATAAAGAAAAATGAAAGTGTCATTTGCAGGAAAATGGACGGAAATTGAGAGCTTTACAGAAAGGGAAATAAGCCAAACTAAGGTGTTCAAGTGCCATATGTTTCTTGCATATGTGAAAGCTAGAGAGGAAAAGGAAAAAAAAAAAGTGGAGCAGGGATCTCACAAAAACTGAAGGGAGATCAGTAGAGTAGAGGAAAGGAATCATGGAGCAGGAGAAGTGTAAGGAAAGGGAAAATACTCAGGGATGATATTGGCCGTATTATGTGGTTATGTTGAATGCATGTATGAATATGTAACAATAAATCCCACCATTATGTAGAACTATAGTGCATCGATAAAAATATAGAAAAAAATCATCCTGTATAAGTGGAAAAAAATTATTTCTAGCTTAATTGTTTAAACATATCTTAAAAGATATTGGCTGTGAAATTCAAGTTCAGCATTCATAAAAAATGTTATTCCTTCTCAATCATCTACAGTAATGATGGGAAATTTTAGCATGGAAAAACACAAACTATAGAGTACAGAGTTCACAATCTTGTTATCATGTTAGAATTCTAGAACCACTGCAAACGTATAGCCAGAGAAGATGCCTGGGTGGGTAGGTCAGTTATTTAGTTAATTTGCTTATTTATTTATTTTAGGTGCCGCAGGAACATCTGAGACACAGTGAGAATGGAAGATCTCTAATTTCAAGTCAGTTCATATGCCAGTTCTGCCATTATCTGCTGTAATATAATGAGAATTATTGTAACTTTCAACGTTGTAATCTGTGAAGTAAAGATGAGACTCATTAATCTAATAGCAAACTAATTTGTTATTTATTGAAATAACAAATATTAAATAACAAGTTCTTTATATAACCTAAAACTAAATGTTATTTTACAGTGAAGGTGCCATTATAAGAAAATGTCAATTTTGAATATCAGATCACCAAACAGCATGCCACAGAAACAAACATTCACATCCTTTCACACCTATGGTGATTACTGCTTCTGGTACATGTGGTTCTTCCTAATACTAACATCACTGAGAGTTAAAATTCTTATTGGAAAATGGCCAAAAACTATAAAAAAAGATCTGCTTGGTATATTATTCCCATATATCATGGCTACATTCTTTACAATTAAATGAAAAAGCAAAATTTTTTACATTAAAATGAAGATGAATCAAAAGACGAGTACATATTGAGTAATGGTATAAATATATTTGTTAAATGGAGAAATATTATTCTGATATATACTTTTTATACATGTATGAATCAACTATAAGGCAAAGCTAACAATAAATCTTATCTTAGTACACTGTCTCACCTTATAACTCTGAATTCCAATATAATTTTTTCAAAATGGTACCATCATCGTAAGATAACTTTGTGTCCTCAATTTTTCTACTGCTTGCCTATCCAGAGCTATGATATCTACCTAATCTTGTTAGTCATCTTTGTTTCTGGGAAGAACCAGTTAATTTATCTGACCCATGTCATATGGCAGATACTTCTTGCACAGTTACATTCATGGTCCTTGTCCAAAAAAGCACCATTGATAACAGTCACACTTATGAAGAGGAGATGCAGAAGCCAAAGTTAAAATATACTGGGAGCAGAGACTTTGAATGTTAAGGTTAGTTAATTGAGACACATAAACAATAGGGGGAAATAATTATAGAAGTAAAACGCACAATGAAACTAGAAATTAAGTAGGAACTATCAGGAAGAAGTATACAACATTGATGAGCAGAAACAAAAAGCTTGTTTACTTATAGAACTATACATCAATTTAAAAACAAACATGTATCCAATTGCCTAAATTGACTATTGTTGTTGCTGTTATGATGTTGGCTGGGTGACTGGTTAGGAAGGGAGTGATAAAGGAGGAACTAGGATATTCTTATATCCATCATCCATTATCATCATTGAGATTTATGAAACATTCGCTAGGTGTCAATAACTATGGATGTATTACCAACGGAACTTCTGTGACAAGTTGTTTTTAATAATTAAGAAGAGTCAGGTACAATAAGTAAACTGCCCAAGGTAATTTGTATGTTAGTTAAGATAACTGACCCCAGATAATCTAATTTCAGAACATACTGTGTAAATCACCAAGCTTTATCATACAAAAATGTATGTTAAGAGCTGAATTTCACATGTAAATTTGTCACTTCCTACCTTACTGTAAGTTGTCTTAAAACTGGGAGAATGAACATAGAAGAGATTTATTATCCATATTTTACATATGAGTAGCTAAAAAACTCAGATTGTTCTAAGTTGGACCAAATGTAACTTTTAGTAACAAGTAAACCAAGTAAGTGGTTATCCTTAGGTAGCTGGGGTCATGCCCTTAAAGGGACAGTGGGACCTTTGTCTCTCAGTCTTTCTTTTGCTTTCTGGCTTATGAGAGGTCTGATCAGTCACATACTCCCTGCTATTGCCATCCAGCAGAGAGGCCCATGGAAATGTGGCCATCTGAACTTGGACTGGAAAATTTAGAATCATGAGCTAAATAAACTTTTTCTAAGGTAAACGGCTTATGTATTTCATTATTATACTGTGAAGCTCATATGAATGGTACACAATATTCCAATCAAAAAATACAATACACTCATTTTTCATATTAGCTCAGGGTCTAATATTAAATATTAATTTTAATAACAAATCAATGTGTCCCATTAGGGTAAGTAAAATGAAATTCTATATTTCAATTTTAGTTCTAATTTTGAAACTACCATCTTTCTTTTTTTTTTTTTTTACTTGTAGGTGGACACAATACCTTTATTTTATTTATGTGGTGCTGAGGATCAAACCTAGGGCCTCAAACATGGGAGACGAGTGCTCTACCGATGAGCCACAGCACCAGCCCCAAACTACCTTCTTGCATATGCTTCATGTCTAAATATTTAGAGACTAGAGCCATGTGAGAGCAATAAAGCAGCAAACAAACAAATGGAGTCTTGGGTTTAGTTCAGTGGTGGAATACATACTTAGTATTTATGAAGTCCTGGATTCAATTCCCTGCATAAAAAAAAGTTTAGTATATCAAACATCATCTTACTAAAGATAATACAATACGTTAGAGAGAGAGATGGTGGGGGAGAGAAAAAAGCTTGCAGGATTAATGAAATATACTATGTTAGTAGAATAAAGGACAAAAATCACATTGTCATTTCAATGGGCATAAAAATTTATAGACAAAAATCAATCATTTTTCATGATAAACCACTCAATAGAACCAGGAATAGAAGAAAACTTCTTCAATGTAACAAAGGACATCTATGAAAAAGTCACAGCTAAGATAACATCATACTTAATGGTGAAAGACTGAATAGCTTACCCACTAAGATCCAGCCTATA